TGAAATAACAGGAAAGCTGAAAAAGACTAGTGAAGAGATTAAGCAAAGGTGGTGGCTCTGCCTTTACAACTGTTCAAGCCACATGATTAGATGATAAGCACAATATGGGGGTTTATTTCACTATTATGTTTTCGTATATGTTTTCAGTTTTCAATAAAAAACTAAAATGTTTTAAAAGCAATTTAAAGTTTCTCCTTTTTTTCTCATTCTTGGTTCTCATTTCTTCTAACCCTTTGAAAACACAGCCTCTGGCCCCATGCAACAGAAAATAAAAGCTCTCTCTTCTCTGAAATGGAATCCTCTGGTATACATAAACAGAATTTTTTAAAGTTCTCTGATATACTATCTTAACCCTTAAAAGTTTCAATTCTTGTCATTTTTTTTCTTTTCTAGTTTTACTGATCTTGCAAGTGATGGTAATGTGAAATCTTCTAAACGTTAAGATATATATATATTTTAAAAACTAACTATGCTCCAGGGATCTACAGAAATGTCATCATTCAACTGCTCCTCTTTTTGGAGGGAAACTAATCCTAGGATGATTTTCAACTATTAGAAAACAAATCCTTCCCTAGGAGACATGAGGTTGATTATATTAACAGTGTGAATTCATGAATACATTTATGAAGTGGCCCATTTGAAATCTCAAGTTATTCAATAAAGCAGATTTCCATTTTTCATTTACCTAAAAACTGTTGTATTACTAATCCAAAAATCGTGATAATTTAAAACTTAAAATTATAGACATTTTCCTGACATAAATACATCAAATGTTTCATCGGGGAATTGAGTTTGACATCAAAAAATAAAATACTGCTGGAACTTGTACCTTCTAAAAGATGGAAAACATCTAACCTACTGTTTGTATTTTAAACTAAGCCCTAAATATCAAACTCTGAAATAAACCATCACTGGTCACATCTGATACAACTGTTTACCTGCTCCCCACCAATTCTGTCCTACTGGTTTCCCCTTCTGTGCCTTTCCTTTTTTCTATGCCTCAGACAATGCTAAGTCTAGCTTGCAGCACTTCCTCCTCGATACATCTTTACTCCTCATTTTTAATTTGTACTATTTGCAACATTCTATAACTGATCACTTTGCACTACAGACACAGCCTTTGGTCGTGCTGCAAGGCTTGTGGGATCTTAGCTCCCTGGCCAGGTATCGAACCAGTGGCCCTTGCAGTGGAAGCTCAGAGTCCTAACCACTGGACTGTCAGGGAATTCTCCCAGACACAGCCTTTGGACGTTAATCATTCACTAACACTTTTCAGTCTGATCCATAAGTAAAATCTAATCACCACCAATCAGAAGCAAGTGGTAAACAAGGATTTCTCAAATATGAGACTTCTAAAAAAACATGCAGAAAAATAGAAAGTATATTCTGTATACCAACTCTCAGTCTTTTCCTTAAACAAAACCCTAGTAGGACAACTAATATAGTGGTAAATTATTCCTACTGAACACTACAAATAACAGTTCCTAAAAGGTTAATTCCTAACTAATGTATCAATTAAATTCTTGCATAATTCTACAGGAAGAAAAATTTTGAAATCTTTAAACAACTTTTTTCTTTTATTTTGACTAACAACATTCATAATGCATGTCTACAAAACTGAAATAACTATTCTGGACACAGGAAAGTAAAAATCTCAGAAGATGCAGAGAAATAAAATGATTATTCCAAGCCATTCTGCAAGCAAAGAATTAGGGAGAAAACTTTCAGCCTTGTGATGCCCCTGAAAATCCATTCAAGGGATAGTGGCCCAACAAGCCAATACATGGAATTTTTGGATAATCCATCTTTTTTCCTTTCCAAACAGAACAGCATAGTTCCCTCATGGGCCAAAATCGGCAGTAACTGAAGAACCGCTGGCTGGCAAGATTACGCACACTAATAACTTTATACACTTGACACAACATGCAAAAAGGGATTACATTTGATTCGAATAAATCCAGTTCTTTTTATATTTCAATACTGGAAAGCTTATAAGTCACAGTGACCCAGGATTAAAAAAAAATAATTGGGTTGGTTAAAGAGGATGTTAAGGGTAAGAGAAAAAAAAAATTGGTTTGGGTCAATGAAGGGAAATAATAGCCAATGGAAAAAAACTATACTGGAAGGTACAACCATAACTTACTTCAGCTTGAATACTAAAGTATCATTTATCTCACAAGACTCAATTACAAAGTACTGATGCAGCCATATTTTAACAATAAATGATCAGTTACAACAAAGAAATGTCTACCAGAAGCATTATTTAGGATGAAAAGATTGTAATTTTTATATAAAAAAGCAACATGATGGACAACTCTAAGACAAAAATTAAACAAGTATTACATACTTCTAAAAGTTGGTCCAGGGAGTTCCCAGGTGGTCCAGTGGTTAGAGCTTCTGTTTCACTGCCGTGGCCTGAGTTCAGCTCCTAGTGAGGGTATTACGATCCCGCAAGGCACTCAGCACAGCCCAAAAAACCCAAGACTGCTCCAGTGAGATTCAGATTCAAGACTTCCTCTCAACTGCTTCAGCATCCTACAAGGTTGCCCTTATTCCCTCTAGATCATCCTTTACCGCAACCAATGACTTTCGTAAGTCACAGAAGTAACGTTACCTCAGAGAATGAAGAGGGTGCTTTATCCTGTAGATACTGGAAAGTCAAGGTCAAGCCTAGCCAAATATCCTAATTTGATGTTAACTTAACATTTCTCAGGAGGTTCCCAAAATATAAGCTAGGAAGTTCCCAAAATTTAAGTCCTTCCCACTTATCTTAGCCAAACAGAAGTATTCAAACCTACCGAACTGTTCAAAGGTCAGTGTTTAAGTGCCCCCTTTCTGTGATAGTCTTAATACTTTCAGTATAATCTCTCAATAAGTGTTGATTAAAATATTCAGCATTCATACATCAGGAACTGTGGATACTAAAGGACAGTTTCTGTACACAACTGTAAAGTGGAAGAGAAAACCTTAACACTGCAAAATATTATAAGTAATAAAGATTAGGAGTGCTGTAATAGCAGCACACACAAGTCAAACACACAAAAATCCAAGAAAGTAATTCTGATCCAGTTTATCAGAGATGGCTTAACAAGTAAAAACAGAGATGGATTCTGAAGGACTAGTATTCTCCAGGAAAATGTCATGAGGAAGGAACAAGGAACTATGTAACATTCATCACCCTTAAGACTCCAGTAAGTGATTGGACAATGTCTTGTATACAGATAGTGTTCACACCTGAAACTGAATGCTCCAATACTTTAGGTCTCAGCTAATTCATATGAGTATAATCCCATATAAAACCAATTCCGGTAAATGAATTGTAATCTTCTACAGACCAAAACTTACAACTGTGCTTCTAAAACACAGGAAAACTAATCATAACTTTGATTTTCCTATCCAAGTTACCCTATCATAAAGATACTGATAAAGTAATCAAGGCCACAAAATGCCCCAAATGAAACATCTACAAGAATAATCTCCAAGATAAACAAGAATAGCCAACATCTTTATGTTTTCTAATTATTTTACAAAAGCAGTAGTCTAAAGACAGAAGTGCCCAAAAAACACTTTGGGACTAAAACAGTGTTTCAATCCCAAATACCTAACAAGAACAGTTAAAAGTATAAAAGGCACTGCCACTTCATTAGTCTGTTTCATAAGTTGCAGAAAACTGGGTTTTTTTTCTGCATTCCCAAGGGCGACACAATCATTAACAGCTCCAACCAACATTTTTCAGAAGCATCTACTTTTTTCCTCCTTGAACTCTCTTTTCCTGCCAGAGACAACCAGCCAAACACATATTTCACGAGTTACTGCTTAGGTACAAGACGTCTCAGGTTGAAATGTCCTCCCCTAACTTAAAACCGATTGATCCTTTTAGACCAGGGATACATCACCTCCTCTATGAAATAGCCCTAGGCATAAATTAATGACTCCGTTAACCAGGTTCCCAAAATACACTGTAGCTTATATTTGTTTAAGCATTCAATTGCCTCATAAAGAATGAAGATAGATAACCTGTTTCCCCACTAGACTATAAAACTTAATGACCTTAGTCTTTATTACCTCCCAGACTAACACCAAGCCACGAACCCAGAAACGACGTGTGAAATAAAAGTAAAAAAGTTTGAAATAAAAGTAACGCTTCGAAGCAGTGTTTGATGAAAATTTCAGATTTCAAGTCAGAAATCAAGGAATGCAGTTCCAACTTCCCAAACCTCGTCTTTTCTCAAAAGTGCCCCTACTTCCTGTCATTTCTGAATACTCCCTGAAGGGGGACTACAGCCTATTTCCAACATTTTCCTAATTTTGCACACTCTGTATTTCACAAAACGACCAACTTGTTCAAAAGCTTTGGCCATTATTAATGTGCCTTTCTCTGTTCCACCGAAAATCAGTCTCAAAAGAAAAAAGGCCCCTATTACACTAAAAGTAATCAAGGGTGGAGAAAACTGCCAGATTGTATTTCTAAATCATTTCGAACCACCACCAGAAAAACCCAAGGTGTATCTTAGACGCCTGAAGACATACAAATTAACCAAGCCTAAAGAGTAAAGAGCCTCAGTTTGACTAACCTCGACCGAGTGCTGCCCGGAAAGCGGCTGCCCTATTTCAGGGCTTTTCTGACCCTCCCCTGCACAGACTCTGCCACCGACAGTTCCGAGAGGTGAGACTTTGTTCCCACGCCCTTGTCCCCGCTCCCTTACCCAGGAATTATCCTTGGAGAGCTGTTTAAACGAGGCCCCCAGCCAAAGAAGAAAAGCAATGCTGAAATAGCAGCACCCAAACGCGGAACAAAGCGCCTGTCGGGGGTGTACGAGTAGGACGCCATTACGCGGGGCAGTGGCCTGCGGCTCTGGCGCCGAGCAGACAACCCGGGGCCCGAAGCGCGAGTTCGGATCCCCAGAAAAGAAACCACAGGAAGAGGCAGGAACCTAGGAAAACAAAGTCGTAGCAGGTTGGCAGTGGAGAATCTACGTAACAACGGGAAAACCGCTTACCTTCGTGAGTCTTGGCGATCTTCGCCATTTTGTCCACTCGAACACACAGACGGAACTGGCGCTCCCAAGAACTTCCGCTCGTCACCGCTGCCACGGAGAAAAATAGCTGGGGGCCGCTCTCCGCGCAAGCGCCAAGCGGGAGCGCGCGCGGCCGGTGACACGTGACCTAGGTAGAAGAGAGAGGTGCATTGTGGGCGGAGGGAGGAGTCAGGATTACTCCCGCAGACGGTTTCCGTGGTAAACCCGAAAAGGACTACGTGAGCCTTAGCGCCTTATAGCGAGTAACTCTGCCGTGGAGGAAAGTGGATTCCACCAGGGCAGTTAAAAACAGTCGCTAAAAGAAACACTGAGGTTTCAGGACTGGAAGAAGCCTCAGACCTCAGTCCCCTTTCTCCAAATCCACCAGACGGCGTTTTGAGGCCAAAAACTCCTCAGCATGTCTCAGCTGTTGTAGTGTTTAGTTATGTTAACAGTTACAAGTCTCATCCCTCACTCTGTAATTCAAGGTCGCTTTCTAACTACTTACCACTTGATTAAGAGATTTGTCCACAATATACATTCCCAATCGCTATTGAAATTCACATAAAGAGGGTAATTTGTTGTCAACCCCGTAACTCCCACAAAGTGGATAAACTGTTGCTAATCTCATTTAAGAAATGACGGGAAAAACCTAGGACAGGGTTATATGTAAGACTGTACAAGGTCACAAAGTTATTAAGTTACAGAGCAGGAACTCTGCCACTCTTTTCTGAGTTCTTAAAAAAGTCCCGATTGTCAGCATTAACACTAATGAAATGCTTCTGATAATCCTAAATGTCATTCCTAAATCAGAAATTTTTTTTCTCGTAAACATCAGCTGTACAAACATAACCTTGTCACACTGGCTTTGGACTCTGAAGAACGTAATTATTTAATAGGGAAACTGGTACTGGAAGCAACCTAGTAAGGCAGGTAAGGGTCAGGTTATAGACATCACAAAACAACTTACTTTGCTGTGTGACAGACTCAGAATACAAATACTTAGTAGAAACTTAAGTAATAAAAAACTGAGGTGCTTTTTTTGGCTATGTGGGATATAGTTCCCTGACCAGGGATTGAACCTGGGGCCCTTGCATTGGGAGCACAGAATCTTAGCCACTGGACCACTGGGGAGGTCCCCCAAAGTGACATTTTAATAGCATCAATGAAAAAATCAATTTGATGGGTTAAAATTTTCAGTTGTTTAATTTAGGTTAAACAATAGTTGGAGGAGGAAGGGGATGAGATAAGAGAAGAACATGTAGATTATTAAGTCAATTGTTGATAAATTCTAGTTCTTGGATTGGCAGAGGGTCCATCAGTTCAGTTCAGTTCAGTCACTCAGTTGTGTCCGACTCTTTGCGACCCCATGAATCAAGCCAGGCCTCCCTGTCCATCACCAACTCCCAGAGTTCACTCAAACTCATGTCCATCGAGTCGGTGATGCCATCCAGCCATCTCATCCTCTGTCATCCCCTTCTCCTCCTGCCCCCAATCCCTCCCAGCATCAGGGTCTTTTCCAATGAGGCAACTCTTCGCATGAGGTGGCCAAAGTATTGGAGTTTCAGCTTCAACATCAGTCCTTCCAGTGAACACCCAGGACTGATCTCCTCTAGGATTGACCAGTTGGATCTCCTTGCAGTCCAAGGGACTCTCAAGAGTCTTCTCCAACACTACACTTCAAAAGCATCAATTTTTCGGCGCTCAGCTTTCTTCACAGTCCAACTGTCACATCCATACATGACCACTGGAAAAACCATAGCCTTGACAAGACAGACTTTTGTTGGCAAAGTAATATCTCTGCTTTTTAATATGCTGTCTAGGTTGGTCATAACTTTCCTTCCATAGACATTCCTTAAATGGCTTATAACCTACACATAGATTACATATATTATTTTATATATACAAAATAGCATATTTTAAAGTAAAAGAAAAAAAGAATAAATGAGAAATAATGAATTAAGGAAAGATGTTATTATGTCCATCAATAACCAATAAACTAAAATAATTCACCCGTGTTGACAAAAAGAATAGCAAGAATGTTGCATTTCTTGATTTATAATTTTTTAAAAGAGAAACTCATTTATACAAGACAATCACTGTCATGTAAAAAAGCACAGGAAAAGGAAATTCACCAAAATGTTACGAGTGAATGTTTGTGAATGATAGAATTGAGTGATTTTTTTTCCTTTATATTAATAGTTTTTAGTATTTTCCAGATACTCTGCTATGAGCATGTATTATTTTTATAAACAGGAAAAAAAAATGAAAAGCATTTTTAAAGCAGGCATCACGTGTCCTCTGTCTTTCCCAAGATATAAGTTGTGCCTGCTGGCCACTTTGTATTATGTGCATATTTCTCTAGGTTCCTAGATGTTAAAAGTTACTTTTGTAGGGCAAGGGCATGTATTGGGAAGTGAGATATGAGAGACTTGGTCAAAGATCATCGGAGTCTCCCTTCTCCTAATCTTCTAAAAACGAATTGTCTTTTATAAAACAATAACTTGAATTTTTAGACAGTAAGAAATAAAGAGTTTTTTTTTAAATAACTTGTTGTTTAGTTGCTAAGTCGTGTTCGACTTTTTAGCAACCCCAAGGACTATATCCTGCCAGGCTCCTCTGTCCATGGGATATCCCAGGCAAGAATACTGGAGTGGATTGCTATTCCCTTGTCCAGGGGACCTTCCAGACCCAGGGATGGAACCTGCATCTTCTGCATTGGCAGGTAGATTCTTTACCACTTAGCCACCAGTAAGCCACCCTTTGCTTTCCCTTTCTAATATTAATAAATATTAATCACATATTAGTTAAAATGGATTTCCTACACATTTTTTATTTCAAAAGTCAGAAGTTGGGGGGGGGGGTGGTTCGCTGGTGGCTCAGTTGTAAAGAATCCACTTGCCAATGCAGAAGACACGGGTTCAGTCCCTGATCTGGGAAGATCCGACATGCCACAAAGTAAGCGCCTGCACCACAACTATTGTGCCTGTGCTCCAGAGCCCCAGAGCTGCAACTACTGAAGCCCGAGTGCCCTAGAGCCCGTGCACCACGAGAGAAACCACTGCAATGAGAAGCCTATGCACCACAACGAACAGTAGCCCCCACTCGCCACAACCAGAGAAAAACCCATGCAGCAAAGACCCAGAACAGCCAAAAATAATAATTTTTTTTTAATCAAAAGGGCTTTTCTGCCCCTCCCTGCCTATTTATAACCCAAATCATTGAGTGATGACATCTAATTAGAAGGAAAATCTATTCCTTATCAGTCTCAAAAAAAATATTGCAAAGTAGCAATTATACATGATTTTTCTAGACAAAAGTGAAAGTTGCTCAGCCATGTCCAATTCTTTGTGACCCCATGGACTAGGGACTTCTCTAGAATTCCATGGAATTCTCTAGGCCAGAATACTGGAGTGGGTAGTCTTTCCCTTCTCTAAGGGATCTTCCCAACCTAGGGATCAAACCCAGGTCTCCCACATTGCAGGCAGATTCTTTACCAGCTGAACCACCAGGGAAGCCCAAGAATACTGCAGTGGGTAGCCTATCCCTTTTCCAGTGGATCTTGCTGACCCAGGAATCAAACCAGGGTCTCCTGCATTGCAGGCAGATTCTTCACCAACTGAGCTATCAGGGAAGCCCTTCTAGACAAAGAATGAGATATAATTTTTCAGAATGTTAAATGCTAGCTGTAACTGCACAAATTACCGTAGGAGATAAAGGCCTTGAAGCTCTATGCTGCTTGAAAAGCAGTGACAATTTATCAAGCCCATCTTTTCAGAGATAAAGGGGCTGTCACAGGACAAAGTCACCACAGTCCTGATGTGTAATGTTGAGCTTTCCAGAAATCTCCTAAATCAAAGGTACATTAGACTCTATGTACCCCAGGCAAAACATCTACTTTTATCCACCTTTCAGTTATGCCTAAACTTCCAAAACTACAGCTTTATTCCTGAAAATTTGGGCATTACTCAGTTAAATAACAGATAACCCTAAGATGATGTTCTGAATATGTTGGTCAATGTGTCTGTCATGCCTGACTTTCCCTTCCAGCTTCAACTGACCTGACCAACCTCTGTTCAAGGGAACAGCACTGGGTTGTTCTGAATAGACAGGTACCTGGCCAGCTACCTAGAACCCGGCCTGGAATACAGCACAACCTGTCTAAAACTAAGGAAGTTATTGGCTAAGTCAAGATGCCTTCTCTTGGAAATTTTAACTTGAAGTAGTTGCTACTAACAAAATCAGTGGAAACTGTCACTTTGTCTGAAGAATCACGTACTCCTGTTGCTTGATTCCCCAACACACCTTGAATCCAGAACCACCTCCAGCTCCAGGCTTCCAAAGAGTCATTCTATAGATACTACTTTTCTTGCAGTAGCTTGGGTGATCTCTCTTCCTTTCAGCTATACCAGGTCTAACTAGAACTGAAAAGCATATGTTAATATATTAGTGTGAATTCATTAACTAGCTTTTTTTTCTAACTAAAGTCATCAACCAAGAGTGGTCTTTGATTCGTAATGGTAAAATACCTAGATTCAGAGCACACATAAGTAGGTGTCCCAGGTAGCTAGGAGGACTGCGTCTCAGAAGCGTCCAGATGCCTAGAATGCCGTGATGGTCTTCCGATGTGTCAACGTGGCTAAGCCACAGTCCCGTTACTCATACAAATACTAACCTAGGTGTTGCTATGAAGGTCTTGTGGATGTGCTCAAGTGATATAACTGACTTTAAGTAGATAGTCCTAGATAATCTGGGTGGGTTTTAATTCAATCGGCTGAAAGGTCTTGAAAGCAGAACTGAGACTTCACTGACTAAGAAAATTCCACCCCTCATGTACATGAGGGGAGGATAAGATTCCTTTATACTAAGTGTGATACTGTGATACTTTTAGCACTAAAGCAGAGCTAGTTGTTTTTTCCTAGTTTCATGTTGGCTTATTTTAATAGATGGAAGTAGTTACGTTTGTTGTAAGGTGTGTATGTAACCTGTGTTAACTTTGTGGTCTGAAGT